TTTTTTTGCCTCCCATGTTGGGAAGTCATTCATAAACTATTTTCACATTGACCCCTCACACGGGCCACTCTGTCCTTCTCCAGAGAAGTTGGGAAGGAGAAAGTGGTTCACAGCCAGACATACCGCTAGCAAAGTCTGGGCAGTCTGTGGGATGATAGGTTACATGCAATTCAAGTCTGCACTGGAGCCTGTAAGGGTGACATTTAAGAACAGTCTAAGGAACCGTACTCTTCTGGGAGAAATGACAAACAGTGATTTATGCCACTAGACTATTGGTGTTTATTAAAGATTCAGATTTTAATTGGTTACCCAGTTTGACCCTAATCATACACACATTTTATTGATTCGGTTTGTGATTTATGCTTTATGTTCTTATGATGGCTTATGATAAATTTTTCAGATCAGTTTTAATTCCTCCTTTTGAAATAACTGGGTATTTAAATTTGAAGCAAATTGTTTTCTTTTTTAAGTAATTATGTACAGTGTTTCACTATTAAGTGCTCTGTAGATGGACAAAGCTGGCTGTAGGTGCTAAAGGGAACATGGTAGAATCCTGAGAAACAGCCCGGCTGCTCTGCTTGCTGTATTTTACACTTCAGACAAGTTCCAGGACAGGAAGTCCCTAAAGACAGCATTTCCCAGTCAGCCACTCCAGAGTGCTCAGTGTGGCGTCTCCTTCACTGCTGCACTCATAGGCAGCTTGAACGGAAGGGCTGCCTTTATTCCCTTTCCAGCTTCTGGCTCTCTGGAGTCTCATGGAGCCTTGATGCCTTCTGGGTTGCTCCATTGCCAGCTCCCATCTCTTACTATCTTGCTGTGTGTGACTGTGTGGCACAGGAGGCTCACAGGGTACTTTGAGTCCACCTGCAGCACCCTAGATAGGGGAGCAGGAAAATGTATCTGGATTCAGTTGAGAGGGCGTCGAGCAGAGCCAGTGTCTGCCTTCACATTCGTGCCAGCTAAGGATGTGGAGTGGACTGTGGTGAAGGGAAAGGCAGCCACTGGGAGTACCTATGTCACATGCCTTAACAGGATTGCTTTGTGCTTGGATTTTCTCAAGACTTGTATGTAAAACTAAACAAGTGTTCCTTTCTAATCTTTTGTTTCTGGATTCTCAAAACTCAGGTTCTTGAGAGGGAGAGGACCCTCATGCCACATACTGTAGCTTTAGGATGTTTCTTGCACTAGGATGGCTGCCTCTGTTTTCGTACCTGGCTGGATCACACCTCCCCATAGGCTCTAGGGCAGGGCAACTTGGCCAGGGATTGATGGATGGGCTGCAAGCTGGTCTGTGGATCCTCTGAAACTGTATGGAAGACTTAAGTATTCTCCCCCCCATCCCCCTCAGGAATGGTTCCAGTAGTACTTGCTGGATCCAGAAAATGTTAAGAACAAATCTAGGGGCTAATACTAGCTCCTGAGTGGCCCACAAGTGAGTGGCTATTCACATGTGGCCTGTTGTGTGGGAAAACTTGTTGACCACATAGCTTAGATGTAAAGAGAACCATTGTGTGATGCTGAGATCTTACTGACAAAGCATATTTTGTGCTGTTCCTGTATAAGATTAAAGTCCTTTCCACCTCTCACCTCCACTTCCTGTAGGGGTGACCAGAGGAGCCACACTTCTGAGAATCTGGAAAGTGATTTTTTAAGGGAAGTTCGCTTGGGTGTATTGCTAAACTTGCATCATTCTCTGAGCTACAGCATCTCCAAGTTTCCACGTTGGCAGGGCAGTGTGCTAAGGAAGCTGGTTCCCTGTAGGAAGGGATGAGAGCAGCAGTGAGGAAGAATGCAAGGTGTTGACCAGTTGTGAGGACGCTTGAGGGTTTGAGGGCAGTCAGTCCAGCAGGACTAGCAGGAACTGTGATCTGAGTTTCCCTTGGTAGCATTGTGTCTGCCCCATGGGGGTTGGGGGGCGGACCTGCACTGGTGAAAGCAGTGTGATGAATTGTTTTCCGCATCAGGTCACTGTTCTCCAGGTTGAGCCGTCTAGTGTTGCGCTGAGAATGAAGAACCCTGAATTTCTTGGCTCTTCAATAGTGGCTGCCCGTAGGAGACAGAACTATGGAATCTTGTTAAGTTGTTCACTGTGTCTGTCATTCATGATCAGCCTCCAGTTCGCCTCAGAAGGGGCAGCTCGGGTCTGTGCTGACTTTTGTTTGGTAATTTGATGAAGAAAGGAAAGTGACTAATGACCTGTCAAAATCCAAGCTATTTCTTATAAGTACTTGCAGGTCTGTTTTTTAATGGTTTTAAATTCTTTATGCCTAGTCCAGCAGCTCAAAGCAAAGAAAATCTTTTAAAAGATCCTTTTGTGTTTACAGTGACAGTTTTAATAAAATACCACACTTTCAGTTTCTTGTCTTGAAGTTTTCACTTGTTCAAAACACATTTTGGTATACTTTGCTTAACTGTAAACAATGCAAATTAAAAAAAAAAAAAGAGCAAAAAATGTCCTCCTGATATTACCTAAGTTTGAGAAGTCGTGATTTATTTAGCATTACACTTTTTGCTTTTGTGAAGAAAATGTTTTATTCAGGAGAGTTAGCAGTTGAAAATTTAAATTTATGAACTACATAGAATCCAAGCCAATACTTTTATGATTTAAGTGATTGTTGCCAGCAAAGGTTTTGGGGGTTTTTTTTGTTGTTTTTTTTTGTTTTGTTTTGTTTTGTTTTATGGTAGACTTATCTATGGGACAATTTCAGTGCATGGCATGTGGCTGAGTTGCTGGGTGAAGGTGTACACTTACAAGAATGGCACAGTAATATTTTATGGAAGATAGTTAATTGGTAAGGAAATTGAAGTATATTGTGAAGTAAAGTTTGAACAACACCTACTTGTGGTTTGGTTAAATAGCTGCAATTTGCATTTGCTTACTTAGCAAGTTTGTTCTTGTTGCTTCAAGGAGAGTTCTAGAATTACTATAAGGCTGTACTTGCCACACTTTCAAGGTGGTTTCATCCCTGTGCTGTCATTGAGAACCTTAGGTTTGAGGGAGGTGGCCCTATTGGTGGGAAAGAGGAAGCTGTGGTGGGCTTGCGGTGGGTCACACTCTTCATATGCAGATGTGTGTGAAACGCCCACCGCTTACCACATAACAACCTTGTCTTCACTTCCAAGCCTAAGGACATGACCCAGAAGCAACCCAGTGCTGGCAGAGGGTGGAGAAGGAAAGACTGAGGGGGTGGGGGTGGGAGGTGGATGCCCAGAGCTGCCCAGCACCTTGGTTTCTTATTGAATTTCAATATTAAATATGGATTAGAAAAAATGTCAGGTGACATTTGACTGCAAAGATATTTCTAAACAGCCTTCTTACATTTTGGTATAAAAGCTGTGAACTTCATAACTTTGTAAGCGAGATATAAAGCAAATACAAGAAGAAAATAAAGTACTTTTACTAAGTGTTCATTTTGTTATTTTGTGTTTTCATAATTAGCCTTTCCATTTTGACATAAAGAACAAGGCAGTGGGCAGGAAACATGGTGGCTGGTATAGATGACACCAACCCTTGCAAGGTCCAGATTAAACTCAGGGTCATTCAGGCCAGTGAGCAGAGGAGCTAAAATGAAGAAAAAAAAGAAACCACCTCTCCTGCATTGCCCTGTAGTAACTTGACGTAAAATGTGTTCATTTCATTATTTCATACATAAAATGTACTTTGATCACCCCCACCCCCAGTTCATCTTCTATTGCCCATTGTGTTCCACACCAGCAATCTTGGGAAAGGTCGGAGTGGTCCCTGAGCTCACACACTAGCAGTGGTAGGACTGGAGGAATGGCTCAGGTTAAGAGCACTGGCTACTCATCCAGAGGACCTGAGTTCAGTTCCCAGCACCTATGTGGCTCTCTCTGAAGAGATCAGCTGCCCCTTTTGGCAGCCATAACAGTAACACGTGCTTGCCATGACCTTGTCCTAGTCACTAGAAGTCAGATGCCTGCCTCGTGGCAAGGAACCAATCAGAAGTTAGCTGGTGGCGCTATGGGCCATAACAACCAATTGGCCAATCAACACAGGGCAAGCCCTCCAGGCCTGGAGGCAACACCAATCCTGAGCCTGAGCGTACCCCTAGACACTCCCCTTACACTGCCCTACAAGATCTCTATGCATCCGGTTCGAGCCATATGCCATGGCGGGGTGGGTGAAAGATCCTAGCTAACATGGGGTTAGCTCATTAAACAATAAAGCCTCATGCTGTTTGCAGCAAGCTTTCAAATCTGCCTGGTGATTGGGGTGACTGTGGTCCTGGGCTGAGACCCCGGAGGCCTGAGTTTTCCAGGGGTCTAACATTGTCGACTGGCTAGCCAGCAAGCCTGTAGAGTTCCTTCCTCTGTCTTTGCTCTCCAGTTCTGGAGTTACAGGTGTGAGCTGCCAGGCTTGGTTTTTAGACATCCACACTGGGGGTCCTCATGCTTTTGTAGCCCTGTACCTACTGAAAATTCTCCCTAACCCCAAACTAAGTCTTTCTGGAAGTGATATATGAAAGTACGGCTGGAAGACAGTTGTGCTGTGGCTGAGAAATGTTAATAAAACAGTGGAACCAGCCATACATGTGCCTTTATTCAGATTGCTATTTTTCAGAATGCAGCCAATTTTTTTTTTTTAAATCATATCCCAAAGTATCATCCCTGTTTACCCCAGAGTAAGCTCATCCTGAAACTGGCAGAACTGAGTGCAGACTTGGTGCCTGGGCTCCTGTATGAGTGAGTACCCACTGGCAGGTACTGGACAGCCTAGTACAAGCTAAGTGGGAGTTCTGAATCAGCAGACCTCCCAGTGAGGCTGCACCAGCTTGGGCAGACACTAGCCTTCAGGTGGCAAAGAGTTCTCCAAAGCATCAGGCTAGGCACCAAGGTTTGGGGCAATGTGGAGAAGGAACAAGACCAGAAGCCCCATAGGCTTGGTGGAGGTGGAGCTACTGGGTTCTTTGTGGTCGATGGCTCTAGCTGGGTTGGGTTGGGTTGGAATCCTGGTTGATTTTGCATGAGGCTTGTCTTCTTTAGGCATACATGGTAAGCTGCAGCCACTGAAAGAGGAAGCCCCAGGTCAGTACAAAAGCAAGCAAAGAGGCCCGTCAGCCCTAGGCTCTCCTACATTGCTAAGGGGACGGGAAGGTTCTTAAAAAAAAGAAGCCTGTTCCTTTTCCTGGGTCTTCTAGGAAAGTGCTTCCTGGCAGTGCAACTTGGGGAATGAGGGAGCAAAGCTCCTGGGGTACACACCCCCAGGAACCACAATCTTCATTAGGTTTCAAGTTCCTGTCCTGGGAGTGATGAATGCACTGGGGCCAGTCTGCCTGTGGACTCCATCTTGGGTTCCATGGTACTAGGAATGTTCTATTTGTTATGCTTACCTCGAGAACATTCAGTTTGATGATACCATCTCCATCCTTGTCGAATGCGTTAAAAGCTCCTGTGTGAAGAGCATAGGCCAAAAACCAGTCACTACCTCCACCACTACCTTTGCACTCTTTCTTTTAATCTTCCCCCACCCCCACCCCTGCTCTTTAGGGATTTGGCTTCGTCAGCTTGTGTTTGCTTTCTAAAGAATGAATTCATTATTGTGTGTGCATGTGGGGACATATGACAAAACACTTGTAGAGTGTGGAGGGCAACTCTGAGATTGTTGGTTCTTTCCTTCCACCTCATAGGTTTCAGCCATTGAACTCAGGTCACCAGCATGCGTTTGAGTTCATCTTGCCTGCCTCTGTTGTGATACTGAACCAAGGTCTATCCATGGAGCCTTGAATTCATAATCCTCTTACCTCTACTACCTTCTGGACCACAAGTGAGCATTACTTGAGTGCTCAGATCTGTAATTTAAGAAGCCCCTGTGCTGAGTGCTGTCCTTCCACACAAATCCCTGCAGAACCTAAACAGCCTCACTCCCCTTGTCATCCTTCTCTTAGCCTCTTGACTGATAGGAGTAATGACTGATATGCAGCCTCTAGAGGAGATTCGGCAGTTGTCAGGTTACTTACTGCCATAGCTGGACCATGAAGAAAGGGGTTGAGAGAGCTGAAAGTAGCCGCTCGCTCACTGTGGTGATTTGGATGGAAATGGCCCCCACAGGCCCAAAGGGAGTGACACTATTAGGAGGTGTGGCCGTGTTAGAAAAAGGGTATCACTGGGGGTGGGCTTTAAGATTTCAGATGTTCAAGCCAGGTCCAGTGTTATTCTCTCTTCCTGCTGCCTACTGATCCTGATATAGAACTCCCACCTACCTCTCTAGCACCATGTCTGCCTGCATGCCACCATGCTCTCTGCCATGATGATGATAGACTAAGCCTTTGAACTGTGGGTCCCAATTAAATGTTTCCTTAAAATAGTTGTCATGGTCATGGTGTCTCTTCACAGCAATAGAAACCCTAAGTAAGACACTTACTGAACATTCCTTCCAGCCTGACGAAGCAGCAAATGAAACTGTCAAAGTCGATGTTCATGTGTTTGTCTGCATAGCGCATAGTGATGATGTCATAGAGTTGGCTGTTGAGGTGGAAGCCTTGGAAGGGCAGGGAGAGGAAAGGGGAGTGAAGTTTTCAGGCTTGCAGTCTCCCTTCCCTGCTTCTTGGCCATGCCGGCCTGGGAAAGGAGACGCCTCCCACCTCCTTTCTCTAACAGTGGTCTAGTCTCCCAGCCCCTCCTGCTCTCCCCAGCTCTCAGGTCCCCCCAGCACCTGCATCATTGACTGCATTCCGCATCTCATAGCTATTGATGGTGCCAGAATGATCTGTGTCATAGTGTTTGAAGATTTTCTGGAAATAGAAAATTCAAAGATAGCAGTTAGACACTTAATCCCAAATTAACCCTGTCTATCACTCACTCATTAGACTCTCATCCTACCTGCCAGGCCTTGATCTTTTTCCAGAGGTGATGGAACTCTTGCAGATTCAGCCGTCCAGAGCCATCTGTCTGGAGGATGGATGTCAGGGCCACAGGCACATAGTAAGATCCCCCGGAACTGGGAGGGGTATCTAGGGTACTATGCAGGGAAGGTGGAGCAACCAGCATCCTCTACCGAGGCTCCTGATCCCAGGTTCTATCCTTCCCCTCCACTCTTTTTTTTTTTTTTCAAGACAGGGTTTCTCTCCATAGCTTTGGAGCCTGTCCTGGAGCTCACTCTATAGACCGGGCTAGCTTCAAACTCACAGAGATCCGCCTGCCTCTGCCTCCTGAGTGCTGGGATTAAAGGCCCCTTCCACTCTCAACCAATCAGAATTCCGGCTATCTCTACAGCCCACAGAGCCTGTCCCCAAAGACCATAGTTTGGGCAGCATCCCAAGCAGGATTTCAAGCCTGCAGTAAGACAGGAGATGATGACCAGCCAAAACAGTATCCTTCCAAAGCAACCCCTGCCAGGATCCCCTTAAGCCTTTCCCTGGCCATGGACACCCCTAATTGTTCCCCTGGCAATATGGGCAGATGTAAGAGGACTGGGGACAGTGCCAGGAAGGATACATCCATGAGAGCTATCATGCTTCGGCAAGACTCCAACGTGAACCCCTGTGTCTTCAGGTCCTTGTCTGGGGGGATGGAGAAGGGTGAGGAGCTGCTTTCAGACAGCTGTGGCCCCTGCCCATCCCCCGCATCTGGCATGAGTCGCTCACGTTTGTTCACCACCGTGTTAAGGACGTTCTTGAGTTCATCTGCACAGATCTCCATGTCCTGAGGGAGAGGAGAACTGTGAAGGACAGAGCAACAAGTGGACAAGTCCCAGCTGTCCACGTTTGTCAGATCCCCTTTCTCCTGCCATGGGTAGCTGGGGCTTTTCTGAGCAAGGCAAGCCAGTTTCTGCACCCTCAGCTGTCCAACATAACCAGAAGGCTGTGAGCCACCCAGTGGTTGTGTTAGTCCCGAACCCAAAGGCACGGGTTTCTGTGATGTGACACACATCCTCTGGTTCTCCCAAACCAAAATGACTTCTGCTAGACCATGAGTCTCTCGAGTTGGGCTAGCAGGGAAACACGTACATCGCCTGCAATCTGCCTGAAGATGTTCCGGAACTGTTGCTGTTCCTCAGTCTCCTGGTCCGTGTGGCCAGGCTGTGCCTGTGGGGACACAAAGGAGACTGGTTCATGGGGACCCAAGCCTCAATCCCAAACTGCCCCACAAAGCGACAGTAGCTGGTACAGGCCCGTGTTCTCAGTCTACCCCCTGAGCCTGAGGGGGCATCCTCAATGTTCAGCCCCCCTCCACTCTCTGCCTGTCTAGCCCCGGCGCCTCAGGTCACAGGACACAGGTGCCATGCCAACAAGCAGACAGGGTCTTCGATCCTCTCCCCACTCTCCTTCAGATAGAACTTTCTCTACTGCTTTGAGCCTGGCTATTCCAACCAGGTCCTCTAGCCACCTCTGTCTTCGTAGCCAAGTCCTTAAAGGACCCCTCCCCAGCCCACTGTGTGGGTACTCCTGGGTAGAGTTCAAGGCCCCGCAGTTCTGAAGGCCTCCATGGCTGCTGCCAGACAGCATCCCCCCGCCCCCCCCCCCCCTTTCGGCTACCATACTTCTTTCTCCCTTTGTCAACAACTCTGAACTGAAGCTAGGTCAGCCTCACTCTCTCCAGCAGGCTTGTCTCAGCCATTGTCTCCCCGAGTTCTGTTGTCCTGCCCAGAGAAGCTCCAGTAGGCTGTCCTATCATTTCCACCCCAGGACTAGTTTGGGGTGGCAGCCGACCCTGAGACATTTACCCAAGATGTACCTAAAGTTCAAAGGAACTTGCTGCGAGGAAAGGTCAGTGGGATGATTCCAAACCCCTCGATGTTTAAGAGACCCTCCCTGGGAGTCGCCATAACTCCCACGGACCCCTAGAGCATAGCAGAGACCCGCTGCGAGCTACATTCCCCATCCGTGCGCATGCTCAGAAACCTGTGGGGTTTTCCCTTGCTTATCGGGCCCTGCTTTGTCTTTGCCCTCCTCTGCCTCCTGGTCCACACCCAGCTCCTTGTTGCTGTTTGCTCTGTCTGAAACGAAGATGATGGGCTGGGAGAGGGGAGGGGTGGGAAACGGGGAGGGCAGGAAGGAAGCAAGGATTACTGGCTGATAGGCACAAAAGGCAGCCTCCCTCCCGGAGCAGCTTTGTCCAGTGAGGAGGAAATAAATGGTCACACTCAGGAGCTCTCAGTTCAAGTTCTATCTCTGCCTTGACAAGCCGTGTGACTGGGGGAGAGAGAGATCCTGTCCTCAGTGTGTGTGTGTGTGTACTCCTGTGTGTGTGTACTCCTGTGTGTGTGTACTCCTGTGTGTGTGTACGCGATGCCTGCTTGAACCTCAGTTCTTTCTCACTTTTTATTCGTATTTTTAAAGATTATTAATGTGTTGTATAAAGTTAAGGGGTCCAATATTCTATCACACCAACCACATTTCTTGTGATAGTACAAAGCAGTGCATATAAAAATTCTAAGAATCCTGAAAGCATGTGAAGTACATTAGTGATTTTTCAAATGTTTTTGTGCATTTTTCAAATGGAAAAACATTGAGTTCCCCCTAGAAACTCAGTGTAAAGCCCATTAAAAATGAAGCATTTCAGGCCCATCAAGGTGGCACACAACTGTAATCCCAGCAGAGGGAATAACCACAAGTTCCAGGCCATCCTAGCAGAGAGCAGGGGCTCCAGCCCCTTGGTACCCAGGGACCTCTCACAATCTGTTGTTTGGTAGCTTGTCAGCACCGGACCAGCCCTCCCGTGTAAGAAACAGCTTCACTGACCATTTACTCACCCTTTACTGGAGCTGCTAAATCCGCCTTTTCCTTCTGATAGGGCTTTTGTGGGGACCAGATGAGTTAGTGACTGTAAAACTGTACTGTGTAAACGCTGACAGTACTACAGCAACAGGAGGGTTAAAGTTCTGCTCATGCAAGTGCAAAGGCTATGGAAGGGGCAGAGAGTGGCCGCCAGGTCATGCCTGTGTTGTTGTAGTGGATGGCAGCAGGGTTTGGAGGCAAAGTGCAGAGAATGACAATGGAGAAAGCAGTCTGATGACAAGGGAGGTCCCACTGTCCTCCTATAATGTCACCTAGGGGAATACATGAAAAACAACTCTGCCAGCTTTGGCTCCAGGAGGCTCCTTAGACCCCAGCTTGCTCTTATAAACAACAACAGCTCTTGCCCAAGCAAATGAAGCTTGTGGGGATCTCTGAACAAGCAGAAGTGATAGTCTTTGGGGACCAGTGGGCAGGGTACAGCCAAGGGGCATCTCTACCAGCCATCTAGAGATGCACATGCAGGTCTCGATAACACAGACCTTGGACTGCAAGGGGCACCAGGGAGGGAAGGACTCTCTGGTCTTAGAGCAGACATACATGTACTGGATCCAGGGTCCCCACCTACTAGATGTGTGCCCTTGGGCATATTACTTCACTTCTCTGAATGTGAACCCTACTTTTAAAAAGCACAAATAGTACTTCCCTTGTAGATGCTATTATGGGGCGGTGTTAGCGGTTGCTTCAAGCACTGCACACAGTATATGTTCCCTCTGGTCAGGACCAGTACCCATGCTAGAACCTCTGTGATAGATTCTCCAGGGCCACCATAAGCACCTGCACCAAACCTTGGCTGATGGCTGTGGTGTTTCAGAGCACAGACCCTGGGGGGCCACCTGGCTCCATTGCTGGCTATGTCTCTTTCTGGCTGTGTGGCCTCAGGCAGAATCATTTGTCTATATCTTTTCTCACTCTAAAAACAGGACTGATAATGGAATCACTGTCTTAGGATTCCTATGATATTGAGGTGACAAGCATGACAAGCACCCGAAAGAGTACCCAGCCCAGCAGAGGCTCCAAGAAGAGAAGGAAGAAGCATATCTTACATGCTACACATGTACACAAATGTGCACACGTGTTGCACATGTGTACATACACATGCATGCATATACACACACACACATGCACAGTGCCTTGCCCACTCACCCTGTTATTCCTACCTTGTTTTTTTTCTTTTTCTGCATAGAAAGGGAAACAGTAAATGGGGAATAGGTGAAAATCAGGTTTCTGGAATAGCCAGTGCTTGAGGCTCTGGGGTCCAGATACTGTGATCAATTGGAGCTTAAAAGGGTATGAAGGCCAATGAGATGGCTCAGTTGGTAAAGGCACTTGCCACCAAGCTTGACCACCCAAGTGTGACTGCTGGGAACCACATGGTAAAAGAAGAGAACGACTGCCACAAGTTGTCCTCTGACCGCCACGTGTACGTGCATGCACATACACATACACAGATAAATAAAAAAATACAATTTTTAAAGGTCATCGAAGGCAAAGGGAGAAGAACATTCTCCCTCCACATCAAGAGACTGACAGCTTGATGTGTGGTGGTGGTGCACACCTTTAATCCCAGCACTCAGGAGACAGAGGCAGGTGGATCTTTGAATTTGAAGCCATCCTGGTCTGCACACAAAGAAAGTTCCAGGACAGCCAGGACAACACACAGAGAAACTTTGTCTTGAAACTCCCCCAGCTGCTATGCTTGGTTTGGACTATCTACTGCTGGGTCAGGAAAGAACCTTCCCAGTCTTTAAAAATAAAATTGGTTACCAAAATATGGCTCACTCAAACCTGTGTGAAAATGAGTTTGCTTTAAGAGATCTTGTTTTACTATTTAGGCAAACATTTTTTTAAATTCCTTTATTTTATTTTTTACCTCATGTGCATTGCCTGCATGTACGTCTGTGTGAGGGTGTCAGATCTTGGAATTACAGACAGTTGTGAGCTGCCATGTGGGTGCTGAGATTGAACCCAGGTCCTTTGGAAGAGCAGTTGGTGCTCTTAACCACTGAGCCATCTTTCCAGCCCCTTTAGGCAAACATTTAACAGGGAGATTTAGTATAGGTTTCCAGGATTTGGGCTTCCTTTGTAAACAAGAAGGTTTGGCAACTGCACTGGACCTGCTATTTCCTGTGGCAACAGTCAGCTGTGCCCTGTTTTCCCTCCAATACTGAAGCCAAGTGTCATTTGAAAGCTGTTGGCAAAGATAGCTCTGTAGGGACACTAGAATCCCTACATTGACTTTCTGTACTCATGTGGCATGCCAGCTCCTATAAACCACCCTCCTCCCCTTTCTAAGAAGTGGTAGAGTTGAATCGAGGGCCTTGTGGATGGCATGCCCTAGTCCATGAAGTCTTGAGTGTCCTAATATATACTCTACACTGATCCAGCATCCATAGGATAAGAAAGTAAGACACAGCTAACACTCAAATGAGATGTGCAGTGGCTAGGAAGGTGCCTGGCTCCCACACTACCACAGAGTCAGCATTATGATCATGGCAGTCACTGCATGAAAGGCAGTCAGTGGGGCTTTTGTACTGGCTCAAGTCACTCTCACTGAGAACAGCCCAAAGCTCCATAGCAGACCCAAGAATCCTCAATACACACACACACACACACACACACACACACACACCACACACATACCACACACATATACACCACACACATACATATACACACCATATACATACATATACACACCACACAAACATCACACTACACTCACACATCCACACCACACACACATATACATACAACACACACACATACATACCAAACACACATACACACTACACACATACATATACACACATCCACACTACACTCACACATCCACACCACACACACATAGACACACAACACACATATACACACTATACACACACATCACACACACATATACAACACCACATACACATCACACACATATAAACACACAACACACATACACACACCATTCTGTATTTCTATAGGCCAGAAGGTAGGTGAATCTGAATTTGAGATCTTAGCCTCCCTGTCTGCCACTTCCTGCCTCTGGAAATGCAAGGAAGCCATTTAACCCTACAGAGCCACCACCTTCTCTTGTGAAAAGCTGAGATGACCACCTCATCCATGTCCCAGAATGTTGGAAAAAATGATGCAAACCACACATGCGAAGAGTGCTTGGAAATACCATGTGGTGTCCATGCTGCACCGGGCATTCCACATGTGGGAGCTTATTGATTTAACCCCCCTAAGCATGGCCAGACATTATTATTATCCCCATTTTGTGGAGTAGAAAACTGAGTCAGAGGGGTTCGGTAACTTGTGCAGGTCATCAAGGTGGAAGGTGAATGATCCAGGTTCCTACGCTGGGGTCCTGAGCCCAGTACACTTTCTTTTCTCTTTGTGAGAAACCGGATGTAATCCAACCTCATGATCCAGTGTTAGCCACCCTTGTCATTGTGTCCTAAGTCCAGCTGCCTTCCTCTAATTAGTAAAATGCTTTCCCCTCTTCCACACTCCCTGGCTTCTGACTGACCAAATAGTTCTACAATGGAAGAATTATTTTCCTTCTGCCCTGCACACCAGACTGCCCTTACCCATACCCACTCTTTCCACCACTACCTGCCCCGTCTCATCTCTAAGAGCCTAGTCACTTACCACTGGCCGATCCACAGAGATTGTGTTTTCAGCTTCCCTGTGAAAAACACAAACACAGAGTGTCTCGGTACCTCCACCCCAGACCAAGCAGGAAGCACTCGGGTGTCTTGGTCCCCCTGGACGCCTCCCCCGACCCCATCCCACCCCCTGCCCCGACCAAGCAGGAAGCACTCCAAGAATAATTTGTTCAGGTCACATGGCTTCTTGATGGTCAAGGTGACACTAAATCTAAAAAAACCCTGGACTACACTTTCAGCCAGGAGCCAGCCCCATGCAAGCCCCATTCCCAGAAAAGCACGCTTGCATGGCTGGCTGCGTTGTCTCACAGAGCATGGCTCAGTTTCCTCCTGCCTGCACCTCTTCCAGGGACAGAACTCAGAGAGTCAGAGGCTACCAGTGCATCTGTGACCAGAGGTGGAGATGTAGCCTTGCTGGCTTCCCTTGCATTTCAGCCACCCTCAGTGTCTCATATACCTACTCTGTGCATTATTTTTGCTGCTTATCGTTTCTATAAATCTAAACTGTCACAATGTTTCCTTGTCCATCGTCCTTAGAGTGTTAAGCTCCATGAAGGTAGCAGGCTTCTTCTGTTTAATTCACTTCACTAAACCGGGTGCCTGGAAGAGTACATGGGCAGAATGGGTGCTCAAGAAATACCTGCAGGACGAATGAGGTGAATACATTTTTGTGGGCTATTCTGGTGCCACAGGGCTATATAACTTCAACTTCTTAGGATGCTGGGACCAGAGTATCAAAGGTTTGAGGCCAATCTGAGTGAGTTCAAGGCCAGCCTGGGACACTTAGTTAAACCCTCTCTCAAAAAAGTAAGATAAAAGCCATGACACAGTGCTTGCCTGGCTTGCACAAGGCCCTGGTTTAATTGCCAGTGCTTCAGAAAGTGAGTCAGTGAAGGAAACAGAGCAATGGCTCAGGAGTGGAGAATGGCAAAGGCCAGTGGGTATGTCCCAAGAGCCCTGCAGGAAACTGAGAACTGCCTGTGGGCTATAGGGTGGGCCAGATGAGTGACCTCTTAGGGACAGGCTGAGAAAGTCTGGTACTTACTCAGAGAGATTCCTCTTTTCAGAGAAGACCCGGAGGATGAATTCCCCCTCCTGATGGGGCTCGTAGGTGGAAGGTACAATGACGTACTCACTGGGGGGCAAGCGGAAGCGCTGGGAAACTTCCCGCATATTGATATAGGTTTTGCTTCTGGCCTTGGAGGCGTTGTACAAGAAGAAGTCCTTCTGCAGGTGTTGCTTATTCCCGTGCATCTGAGGACAAGAACCCAAACACCTGAGCCCCTTGTGAGGGTTGCCTGGACCTACTCATAATCCCCTCCAAGGGCTCCTTCCTAACTCTTTGGTCATTCATTTCAGTCTCCACCCACCTACTTTGAATCCCTAAGGCCTCCAATTGCTCAACATCATGGACATTCTGGATCTCACTTCCCCTTCTTGTGATTCAGAAATGAAGGTCAGGTCTATACTTTCCCTAGACAGGACCACTCACCAGAACGGATGATCCTCAACTCCAAATCCCATGGGTTGGCAAGTGCCCCAAAGATGGGGAAGGCCCTTGACTGGATTCTGAGGGAGGTGATCCCTCTGTCCTAGAAAGCAGCCACCTTCAGAATGTGTTTCTGTGAGTGTATACTTGCACGAATGTGAAGAGGTGAGTGTGTGGAGGTTTGTGTGTTTGATGGGCGGGGCATCCTGGTGGAAGGGAGAAAATGCGCATCTTGGGGTCTGGTACCCTCCTATCAGCCTTGCTCATCAACCCTACCAGGAAGCTTCTCGGGGACCCACAGAAAGATTTAGGACCCCCAAGGAATGCTGCACACCACTGCTGGCCGCTGACACTGCTATACCTCTTTGGGAACCTGGAAGCAAAACAGAAAAACAACACCTCTGATGTGAATGAGGGTACAGAGCTGACAGAAAGCAATGCCAGCAACTATTGAGTGACTGCAGACTCCAACTCCTGCTGCCACCCTGCCAGCCCCAGTGCTACCCACCGCGCCCGTGGCTTTTATGTTGGTGACAAACATGTGTGGGCCTGAGAGCAGGAGCCCTGGTGGTCGCTGAAGACCAGAAAAGCCCGAGGACCAAGCTGAAAACTACAAATTCTCCTCACTGGAAAGGTGTGTTTCCTGTGCTGGGGCTCGAGGAGTCTTTATACCTCGTAGATTGCGAAGCCAATGGTGAAGAGGTTGGCTCCCAGCTTCCGGTCCTTGCGCCGATTCTTCTGCATCAGAGCCACCAGGAAGCTGCAGATCACCTCAGAGTCATCAGGGTCGTCGTCCTCCTCCAGGAGTTTCAGACGGTACTGCGGGTTGGTCCAGAAAGTGTCTGCGCCCCCCCCCACCAGAGAAAATGCATGTTCAGATATGAGAAAAGGCAGGAAGGAAAAGGAGACAGGGAACCTGTCTAGGTCCCCTCTGTGAGGGGTAACTTTAAGATTTTTGTTTATATGTGTATGAGTGTTTTGCCTGTATGTATGTCTGTGTTCCACATGGTGCCCATGGAGGTCAGAAGAAGACCACCATATGGGTGCTGGGAACCGAAACTCGGTCCTCTGCAAGAGCAATAAGTGCTCTTTGCCACTGAGCCATCTATCCAGCCCCCATTAAATAGATTCTGAATTAGAATTAAGACAAAATTACTAGGCATTTCTGAAATGGCCCTAAAGTTACTGCTGCCATTTTGTGCTACTTGTTTGTATAAGTGGAATTCTCAAGATGGACAAGTATAACATCAAAGTATCTGTCAATTCCAAAATCAAGTTGAAGATGCTCTGTGTCCTACTGTACCTAATATTCAGCAAGATTTAAATCTTTGTGTAAAAGTAAATAACTACATCTATGTCACTAACATACAAATTTGCTTTTGTCTTTAATATGTGGTAAACATATTATGTACGTTAACTAATTGGTTTGTTTGTTGGTTTTTGTTTTTCGAGACAAGGTTTCTCTATGTAACAGCCCTGGCTGTCCTGGAACTTGCTTTGTAGATCTGGCTAGCCTTGAACTCATAGAGATCCACCTGCCTCTGCCTCCCAAGTGCTGGGATTAAAGGCATGTGCCACCACCACCCAGCTATTATTGTTTTAAAATAAGCTTATTTTCTTTTAATTTTTTCAAGATAATTCTCCTGACTCTACCTCCTGAGTACTGGGATTACAGGCATGTGCCAGCATGCTTTATTCTGTGTAGGGGGATTCAACTCAGGACTTCATGCATGCTAGACAAGCACACTGTCAACTGTGTTACATTCCTAGTCTCCCATATAAACTTATTAATGACTTATTATCAGTAGATGTTTGATTTTTATACACCTATATACCCAGGGTTATATAAAAATTCCTCATTGAGCCAGATGGTGTTGGCACACACCTTTAATTCTAGACTCAGGAGATAGAGGCAGATGGATCTCTGAATTCAAGGACAACCTGGTCTACAGAGCAAATTCCAGGACACAGAGAAACCCTGTCTTAAAAAACAAACAAACAAACAAACAAAAAACCCCACAAAATTCCTCATTGAAAAGGGGTTATATGTAGAAATGTCTAAGAGCCTGCTCCCTGCTCCAGACAACTCTAGATGCCCTGTGCCTGGGTGTTTGACAAATGTTTACGGAAAGCATGAGTCAAGCATTTATCTAATTATTGGTGAGGGGGGACCCCTACCCTTTGGACTGACTAGTTTTATGTCAACTTGACACATCCTAGAGTCATCAGACAGGAGGGAGCCTCAGTTGAGAAAATGCCTTTGTAAGATCAGGCTGTAGGCAGGCAAGCTTGTAGGGCTGGGCTCTCTAAGAAAGCAGGCTGAGCAAGCCATGGGAAGCAAGCCAAGTAAGCAGCATCCTCCATGGCCTCTGCATCAGCTCCTGCCTCCAGGATCCTGCCCTGCTTGAGTTGCAGTTCTGACTTCCTTCAGTGATGAACAATGATGTGCAAGGCCAAATAAACACTTTCTTCCCCAAGTTGCTTTGGTCATGGCATTTCACCACAGCAATGCTAACCCTAAAAAAGCCAACCCTTCTACAAGTGGAATTGCCTGGACTGGGTGTGCAATACCTTCATGCCTCTTCCTTTCTGAATTTTCATTTTCTTTGCTGACAGCTTTACTCTTTTTTAACCTACATGTTAAGTATCATTGGTCTCTGGGATCTGGCTTTATGCTTCTCTAGTTCCACCCATCCTGTTTCCCTAGGTATCTGACCCTCTCCACTGTGTGTGTGTGTGTGTGTGTGTGTGTGTGTGAGAGAGAGAGAGAGAGAGAGAGAGAGAGAGAGAGAGAGAGAGAGAGAGGGGAGAGAGAGAGAAAGACAGAGACAGAGAGAGACAGAGACAGAGACAGACAGAGACAGACAGAGACAGAGACAGAGACAGAGACAGAGACAGAGACAGAGACAGAGATAGACAGACAGACTTCTGCTTTCTCTTCTTCCTCCTCCTCCTTTCCCTCCTCCTTTAACAAGAAAGGGTTTTTCTGTGTAACCCTGGCTATCCGAGAATTCACTCTGTAGACCAGGCTGGCCTCAAACTCAGAGATCCCCCTGCCCCTTCCTTCCTGAGTTCTGGGATTAAAGGCATGTGCACCATTGCCAGACTTGATTTCTACTTTCTAACTGACCCCTACATTTCAATGACACCTGAGCTACACATCTTAGCTCAGTTTCTTGTTTAACTCCCCCTACTCATTTCCTGTCATTTATTTACTTTTTATTTTCATCATAAAACACGAGTGTGTGTGTATGTGATGTATGTGTGTTTGTGCGTGAAAGCAGGTGAATGGATGCCATGCCATGGGCATGGAGGTCAAAGGGCATCCTTGAGCACCAGTCCTCTCCTTCCACCTTGTTTGAGGGTCTGAGCTTCTGGGAATTCTCTTGTCTCCATTTCCCATCTTACTGTAGATCACTGAGGATTTGGATACACTACTTACAGTGCCTGGTTTTTTGTTTTGTTTTTGAGACATTGTTTCTCTGTGTAGCTCTGTAGATCAGGCTGGCCCCGAACTCACAGAGATCCACCTGCCTCTGCCTCCCGAGTGCTGGTATTAAAGGCGTGCGCCACCATCACCCAGCCACTGGGGATCCAGATTCATTTTATCAGGCAAGCTCTTTTATATGCTGAACCATCTCTCTATCCTGTTAATTGAGTTTTTATCATATGACCAAGTCTACTCTAAAATGTAGATGACTTCAGTTCTCTATTATAAATCTTTACCTTGGTATTCAACTTCAAACTTTTCATGTCATAAAATGAAGAAGTCCTTTTCCCATATCTTCGCAACCAACTGCATTTAAAAAAAATACTAACACACCAACTTTTGTTCTGTGCAACTTATATTACAATATTGACTCATCCACTCAGGTCATTGTTCTGGGACCCTTGGTATCATTCATTATTCCATCCCTAAATCTGAATTCTCCTCTGCATCTCTGGAGCCGCTGACTTGGTCAGGCTTTTAGCATTTCATACGCTACTGCTCCCAGGTCCTTGAGTATACCTTCAACAGGATTGTCATGTTGTTCTGACAGTTTCCTGCTTCAACCTTTGTTACCAGCAAATGTACCAGGGAGTTGCTACCAGCTAGGTCCTTCTTGGAGAGTTCCCAGCATGGCTGTTTCCTTCCTTAAATGAGGAGGATTTAGTGAGACAGTGCATGCCTTAAGCTTAGTACAGACTCAGTAAGAGACAGTATTATTCTACCTGGAATGAGACGTGCCCAGGCCCTTCCCCATCCCAAGTGTCTTCCCACCTGGGAAGTTGCGGCAGCCTCCAGCAGAACAGCCCCTGACCCAGCGGCCCTCGTTTACAGACACGGTCCAGGTCTGTAGCTTGTCAGACTCCAGGGCATCAGCTGTGAGGTTACAGATCTCCAGCTTTGTGAAATGGTAGACAAAGTCATCATATGACATCCTGAGAGGTTGAAAGAAGAGAGACTCACACAGGCTGGGCAAGGGAAGATCCAAGGGCTAATACAGCCCAATAAAGACCCAAAAGACCCTGACATTGTCTGTTTGTTTGCTTATTTGCTTTTGAGAGACAGAATTTCATGGTGTAGTCTAGGCTGACCTTGAACTTCCGATCTTCCTGCCTGTCTACCAAGGAGGGACTTACAGGTGTGTGCCTTGCATTGCCACTTCTGACATATTGACCCCAAACTATCACCATGTCTTATAGTAATGACTCCTCATTTGTCTTTGATGAGAGAGGGCTGGATGGAAAACCATTTTCCAAAATGTTACTGTGTGTTTCACCATTGCCAGGCATATTTTAGGCACAGGGAAAAGAGGTGTCGCTTGGTGAAGGATTTTTTGTTTTGTTTTGTTTTGTTTTTGTTGACAGGGTTTCTCTGGGGCTTTGAAGGCTGTCCTGGAACTAGCTCTTATAGACCAGGCTGGTCTCAAACTCACAGAGATCCGCCTGCCTCTGCCTCCCAAGTGCTGGGAATAAAGGTGTGCGCCACCAATGCCCAGCTCAGTGAAGGATATTTTTAAGGTCAATGACATCACAAATAAATGCATCAGGGTCCTGAGGGAACCAAAAGAGTTGGTTAACTGGGATTCAGAAGGCTGACCTTACCGGAATAAGGGTGGTACCTGGCATCCAGTAAGAAAGCCTCTTGGCTCAGAAGAGAGCTGTGTCAGAGCCAGTGCAAAAGGGTAGTTGCAACAAGAGCTGGCCTGAGCTCAGTCATTGCTATGACCTGGCAATCTCTTTTCAGAAACTCATTTTTTCTTGGCCTTCAGTTCAAGTGGGAAAGCAAGGTCCACATGGAACCTGGTGGTTTCTGATTGGGAGCCAAGGCTTTGCCTCTCTGCCTGGGTCATGAACTTACCAGAACTCTCCATCCTCAGTGACCTGGTGCTGTAGACGGGCCTTCTCGTCTTTGTCCACAAAGCTCCAGTCCTTCCAACTGGTAGGAAAATGGAGGGATTAAGGAAGGAAGAGGAAGAGGGGGAGGCCTAATGTGGGGTGGGGCAGAGAATCGGAGAAATACTAAGTTGGAGAAGCCTACATCTAGACCACAGCTAGTACGAGCCATCAGAACGCAGCTCCGACCTGCTACCCTCAGTGGGCAAGCCTGTAATCTCTGGCTGAATCTTCTAGCCTCCTCATTAAGAGCTCGATTCTGCAGATAGGCAAACTGGGATTCGCCTTTGATAACAGAGAGCTGTGCATCTCAGATATGTCACTGGATCTGTCAGCTTCTACTTCCTCAGCTACAAAAGGGAAATATTACATTGTCTACACAGGAATTATGATGAGATAACATCAAAACTGTTAGTTTGGTTCCCCACTGAGTTGCTAAGATCCAGCATGTAAATAAGTGGTTCTTCTTTCCAGCCAGGAAACAGAAGGGCCCTGTTTCTAAGATTGGGTGCTTTCACACCCAGGGCAAGGAATAAGCACATTTGTGTCCCAGGCTTCCTGAGTTAGAATTAAGCTAAATGGGGTTCAGGATGTGGTTGGAGTCAGGGTGCCCTGGAGATTGCTGGGAGACATGGCCCCCATTCAGCAGCTCCTGCAAGAGAGGAATCAGCAGGAAGTGTGTTAAGGCTCCGAGTTAGTCTGGAAAACACAGCAAGGGCGTTGTGGGTGACTTGAACTAGTGGAGGAGACGATGATGGGGCCGTGAAGGGCCTCCCATAGCACGGAGCGCTGTTCATAGTGCTAGCTCCAAGTAACCCATCCCACCTAAAGTATGAGGGGGTGTATCTTTGTGATCCAGTCACTGCCCACAGAACGAGTCTGTGTGTGCTTCTGCATTTCACTCTACGTCCCCTGGAGCATATAGTCAGCTCCAGGAAGGGAATTGCCAGTTGGATGAGTGAAGAGATAGGTGTGGGGGACCGAATATCCCTGATATGGAATATTCTGGGTTCCAGGCCCTGGCCGACATATACAGTGGTGGCGCCAGGGAGCTCCGAGTGGCCATTGTATTGTTAATTAACACCAGGCTGTAACTGTTTACCATGGCCGAAGGTGATATGCCTCCTAATTTGCATCTCTGTAATTTAAGCCTTGAGTAGGCCCATACCTGGACTCAAGACTCTGCCTGCTTGACCACGAGTTGTTTAGGCAACAGAATCACTTGATGTTAATGATATGCATTGTGATAAATGCTTCCTGATGTTGTCCCTGCCCTTAGAGGACTATTTAAATGGATCTCTCAATAAACTGTGGCCACTCGGTGTCAGCTGAGAGCCCTCCTGAGATGATATGGTGTTTCCTGTCTTATCGTTAGCGTTGTTGGTTAACTAAACTTCCCTAGTCCACACACTTCCACTCAGAAACGGACCAGGGACTGTACAGCTGGCTACGTCCACAGTCCTGAAGACATCGGTCCGGAACAATTGGCGCCCCACATTGGGCGCCAATTTGTTGTGGCCCGGCTTGTCTCAGCTTTAGACCATAACAGCCATGAGGTTCTACCTGAGTGGGGGTGTGGACCTGGAAACTTCTAGGAACCCAACGGCGATAAAGACCAAACACAGGCATCTTGTCATCTTCAGAGAACTCTCAGTTCCATGTTGTGGAACTGGAGCCATTTCTTTATTAGCCATCTTTTCTGGGTCCCCCACAGATAGGAATGACATGTATGTAGCAGGCAGCAAGCTCACTGTCAGCAACTTGTGTGTCTACTGAGAGGTGACCTGTTCACAGACTAGCCTCAGAGCTTAGCCCTGTGCCTCCTAGTTGGCAGGTGGTCAATAAACACTTGCTAAGTGAATGAACGTGTGAGTGAAAGAAACTGGACTGACCATATACCGCTATGGTGTGTGTAGAAGCTTGTAAGAACAGAGCCACACAGGTGTGTGGCCTTTCCACTGTTGAATCTTACTATTCAAGCACAGGGGCTGCCTGACATTTAGAAGGGGCAGCCTGGCCTCAGTGACTGAGAGAACCCTAGAGGGGTTTGTTCTGGAGCCTTTGATGACTCCTCTGTGGTTGCTTTCTTGTCCTCAGTCTGTTCTTTTCAGAGGAAAACAGTAAAATTCCTTCACGGGACTTTGTATGTGGACATCAAAGGAGAGGACATTGTAGTCTCAATTAAGCACCTTCCCTAGCTGTCACATAGACTCCTCATAAGAGCCACCTGGGAAGAGCTGGGACTGCTTCCATTTTACAGATGAGGCAAAGAGACACTTACAGGAAAATTGCCTTTTATCCCAGAACCCTGCACTGAGACTCTTCTAGACACATTCCTTTCCTGGGCGGTAGTAGCCCACATCTTTGATCCCAGCACTCAGGAGGCAGAGGCAGAGGCAGGTGCATCTCTGAGTTCAAGGCCAGCCTGGTGAGTGAGATCCAGGACAGCTAGGACTACACAGGGAAACCCTGTCTTGAAAATCGAAAAAGAAAAAAAAAAAGCGTTCCTTTCAAGTCTATAGTCATCATTATGCTCACTTAGTCCTTAGCTCTGGTTTCCACCTCCAGCCCTTTTGGGGAGCCCACACCTGTACCCTTCTCTGCAGGTCACTGATTTGAGGGTGATGTTGCACCAGTATCAACAGTACTCTCACAGTTTGGTACCCAACCCAGTGTGGCCCCAGGTTCTGCTGCTCCGTGGTCTGCCTCACCTACCCATCGCTCCAAGAGCCGTTCCATTCCACCTGGCCCCAGGGGTTCCGCAGTCGCACCAGCTTCACCTTCTCACCTTTGAACAGGGCCTGGGGCAAAGAGACAAAGCTCTTCAGCTCTGGGGCAAGTTTGGAAAGATAGGGTGTCTGCCTTGCTCTGAGGGCTGGGGTAGAAGTTGAGAGAATCCGGTATGAGAGCTGTCTGCCCGGCCCTGGCCAGGTGGACAAACCAGAAGACCGGGTAAGGAATCTGACCATTGTATGTGTTGGTGGAGGGGTTAGGCATTTATGGTAAGACTCTAGAAATATATTAAGTATTTCTGTGTGTGTTTTCCTTTATTATTTTTCTTTATGTGGATGTATGAGTTATATGCACCATATGCCTGCAGGTGCCTGAGCAGGCCAGAGGTTGTCAGACCCCCTGGAACTAGAGTTACAGGTGTTTGTGAGCTGCCTGATGGTACTGGGAACCAAACCTAGGACCTCTGGAAGAGCAATACATGCTCTTTACTGCTAAGCCACCTCTCCAGCTCCCACTTTTATTATACGAGTGTTCAGTGCATGTGTGTGTGTGTGTGTGGGAGTGTGCATGTACCTCAGTGCACACGGGGACATCCGAGGACGACTTTCCAAAGTCAGTCCTTTCCTTCTATCATGGGTCCCAGGTTTGAACTCAAGTCTTCAGACTTGCACTATAAGTGCTTTTTTCATCTGAGTCACTTCACCAGCCCTCTGTGTGAGTTTTTAAAAAGGCTCTTGCTGGCTAAACTCCAGATGCCTGCTCTAGATGGACCAATTAGAAAAAGATGCTCCACCGGGAGGTGGTAGCATACGCTTTTAATCCCAGCACTCAGGAGGCAGAGGCAGGTGGATCTCTGTGAGTCTGAGGCCAGCCTGGTCTACAGAACAAGTTTCAGGACAGCCAGGGCTGTTACACAGAGAAACCCTGTCTCAAGCCCCCCAAAAGATGCCCTGTTCTCCAGTCACATGAAGCGGGGGTTGCAGACACAAGCTCTCTCAGCCCATTCCTTTCATCAGCTCTATTGCATGTTATGGCTTCACAATGTTCCTGCCTGGGAAATGACCCAGGGAACTTCAAAAACCCCACAGGAAGCAAATGAATATATGCTGGGTAAGAATAGAGACCCAAGTTTGGAGTCCAAGCACCCATGTAAAAGAAAAAAAAAAAAAGACGCAGCCAAGCATTTCTTTAACCCCAGATAGGGTAGACACCTAGAGCTCATTGTCCAACCAGTCTAAGCAACTGGTAACATCCAAGCTCAGTGAGAGACACTGCCTCAAAATAAAGTGAACCACTGAGGACTAGCCAATACTGACCTCTGACATACACACACACACACACACACACACACACACACACACAAACACACAACACAGGCACATTCACTTCACACACAGATGAGCCGAGCAGTATCTATGACCACGTCTTCCTCAGGTTTGTCCCATAGGCCCCTCCACCCCCGGGAAGCCAGCTCGGACCTGACTAGCAAGCTCTTTGAGTGGTGAAGGAGGCACAGAAAGTTAAGTCCTGACTTTAGGGGATCAACCTGATCAGCTGTGTTTCCATGTCCACCAGACTCCACAAGACTCACCTCCTCCAGTCCGGTGACTGAATAGGCGTGACCTTTCACCAGCCCACAGGCCATTCTTGTCTCGTACTGAACAGGAACAATCGTCTGCAAAGCGATAACCAGGCATCGTGTCAGGAGTTTGGGGGCAGTGGTTCTGCTGCCCTGAGGCAGGGGTTCACATTGGTTCAGTTCTGAGTTACCACAGACTAAGGATGGTTAAGGATGGCTCACTTCCCTGACAGTGCATCTTATGGCCAAGAGCAGACCTTCGAGAGCAACAGAAAGATGCAGCCCCCGAGACCTAGCTGATCACGCTGCCCTGATGGCCAGAGTGCAAGGTGGGCGCTGGATAGAAGGTGGGTGGAAGGATGTGTCCCTCCTTTCTAGACCCCCTCGGGGGAGCAGAGGAGATATCTGGGGTCTATCTGCCGAGTTGACTATTCCCAAAAGAAGGGAGTTCAATGAAACCTATAGATCCAAACTTTTCTCTTGACTTTACCTCACCTCCCTCACATTTTCCTAGAACATGGAAGTCAAGAAAACTCTGTCCTGACTACCAGTACTGGGAATACTGCATGGTTCCCTGCTGTGACAGGACTACACCTGAGCACAGAGAGAGCTGTCCCCGTTCAAGTTGTAGTCTTGAGGGTTCTTCGGCAGAAAGGTAGATCAGTAAGGCCCATGGAGCACACCAAGGGTTCCCTGCACCGGGGGCCTAGTAACAACAGCTTTGGGGGAGCTTCTGAATGTCATGTGGGTTTGATTCCTGAAGCCTTCTTCAGGGTGACAGGTGTAGGTGAGCCTGGAAATTTGTATCTTAGTCTCTTAGATTTCATTCATTCCTCATTTGACACAGCCTAGGGCAGGACACTCACTGGTCTTCATGCTATACCTTGGAGGCTACCCGAGATGACTTTGGCTCTATTCAGCCCATCATTTGACCCAGCAGTTTTACTCTTGGGATGTAGTCTTATGGAAGTCACTGTAGGTATATACAAAGATGTCTCTATTGCAATGCTTATTATAACACTTTTGAAAACAGACTTTAAAAAACCCTCTAACTTTTCAATAAGAGTACCAGTAAGTAAATTATAACATCTTCACATTAGAATATTGTGCAGCTACTAAAATGATATAAAAGAATACTTAGCTGCATTTAAAAAATACAAATCTGACAAAAAAGAAGGAAAAAGAAAAAGTAGGTTGTAAAGTTGTAACATATAAGACACGATTTTAAAAACAAAAGTATGGTTTAAGTATGTTCCCAGAAAGATCATATACCAAAAGCTGGGCAGTTATCTTTAGATGGAAAAATATAGGTTACTAATTTTCCTCTGTGGGTTTTTTGCTTTGTTTTTGTATGACTCAGTCCTTCGGTAAGCATGTGTGCTTTCCAGGTAGAGGATGTAAGCCTTGCTTTCCTTGTGAGAGAGGGAATTTGTTCTGCTCACTGCCTGCTCTGGGGGGCCGGATGGGACATGTAGGTCAGGGAGTGCTAGTCAGTTTTGACAGCTGGAGATGTACACACCCTTGACGGTCTGTCATCTGAGCCCCTGGGGTCGAGGTCTGAGTCTCTGAGCAGCGAGTTATCCATATTCCTCACCATCCGCGCAATCAACTCCCCCATGTTCAGACCAGAAGGAGAGGTTCCGTAAGTCATGTTCGTGCCGTCCTGAAGCCCGACAGGAAGGAAAGTGGAGAATCCAGGAAAGGGAAAGAGAACAGACAAGGGAGGGAGGGAGGGAAGGAGACAGGAGAAGGGAGAGACAGACAGCAAAAGAGGAAATATCAACAGGGCACAGAAAGGATACAGGAGAGTAATAGAAGGGCTCCTGTGTGGCGTGCTTATGCTGACTGACAACCAAGCCTCCTACCCAAGGGAGAGCTGGGAGACAAAGGTGGGCGGGCGTTAGCTTGCCCCACCCCTTCCCCTGGGCTGCTAGTCCCAGAGCAGCCCTGGGGAAGAGACCAGGCCGTGGTGGGTCCTCTCCTCATTCCTGTCTCAGTTCCTATACCGTGATGTACTGAGAGAGGGACTCGTCTAGACAGCAGCACAAAGCTCAAGGACTGAGATGTCAAAGCTCAGTGGCTAGGGAGCGATTAGCGGTTTCTAAGTGACACGGTGGGTGGGCCTAGGTCCACAGCCAGCCATATGGGGGTATGCTTGCGCTGAGCAGTCTGGACAGAAGAGGCCTGCCAGTGGAGTCTCTCGACCTATTTCTACCTGAATTCTAGGGCTTGGAATGTCATTGCTCAGTCTTTTTATTGAGAACTACCTCTCACCCCTAGGAATAGATTTCCCCTGAAAAACTGCCAATTTTAAAGTCAAGACGCGCCACCCCCACCACTCTTTTTTAAAAGCAAGATCTCACTATTCAGCCCAGGTCGAACCATCTTCCTGTCTCAACTTCTAAATTGCTGGAATTATTGGTAGTTCCTATTTTTTTTTTTAACATTTATTTAGTGTGGGGTGGGTATACATGTAGAAGTCAAATGACAGGTTGTGGGGGGGGTCCATTTTCTTTCTGCCAGTGGATCCCAAGGATCAAACTTAGATCTCCAGGTTTAAAAGCTCGTGTCCTTACCAATGAGCCATTGCACCATCTGGCTCTTACGTCTTAAAACATTCACCCTATCCCAGAAGGAAGCTGTGTGTCGTTAAAAGTAGACAGCTTCCTATGAACCAGACTTACATCAATGGAGCAGCCCATGAGGGAACCTCTCTCGATGGCTTTCCTCATGATCTTGTACATGTCACTGGGAGCATCCTTGATCTCAAAAAACTCTGTCACCCCTCCTGTGAAGTCCTCCATGGCCTCTGTGGTGTTCCCACCTTTTAGAGCTTCATAGGAACCATGGAGCCTTGGAGAGAGGACAAAAGCCAATCTGGAGTCTGGGAGTCCCAGGAAGGATGATCAGCTAAGTAACACAAGGCCACAGAGGGCCAGAAGCATTGTCACCCACCATTCTGTCCCCACTCCCCCAAGGTACTCTTCTACTGTCTGCTAAGCCTAGCAGTGGGATGGGGGTGGTAAGGGTGGGAGGATGGCGGTGGTCAAAAGTCAAAGACAATTTGGCTGAGCTGCAGAGATGCACTGAGCTGATCAAGACTGGAAGCATCACCAGGAAGGCAGGATCAAAGAGCCAGCTTCGGGAAGCTGCAGCTTTATGACACACAACTTTATTTCTTCTGGTTAACTTTATGCTTTTTAGATAGGGCTCCTACCGCCTGGACCTGCTTGCTCTGAGGCTGACTCAGGGTCTTAGCTGAACTCCCACACTACACACGAGCATGTGCACACATGCCTAGCCCAATGTGAGTGATACTTTGGCTGAATTCTCAAATCTGCATCACCACCTGAAGTCCTGTCTCCCACTCTGACCACCCATGCCTTCCTTACTTAGCATAAGCTTTCTCCAGAAGAGCACTCCAGAATTCGTTGCGGTGGTTGGATTTGGTGAAAACCAGCTGGTTGTTGTATGTTGGCAGACAGTCATCAATGACCACATCTACCCAGTCTCCATAGCGCCAGAACTGCAAGAAGCAAGGCACACAATCACATTCATGGGCTGCCATGACCCTCGTCCGCATCCCGCAGGGCACTCAGCCTCTGCTACCATTTCCCAGGCTTTGCACCTGAAGCCAGCTTTACAGTGTGTGAACCTATCTCTGTCTACACTGTGAAACTCTGGGGGACAGAAACTACACTCAGTGTCTGCTGAAAGCCCGCCCAGTTCTGGGCACTCTGAAAATCTTAGGATTGGAGGCTTTCCCCCTTTGTCTAGAGGTCTGGGATAGACCTGCTGCAAGTACTTTCATGTATCCCAAGTGATTGCAGTGTGTGACCCAGGATGGAGATTATGGTGCTAAGCACAGCTGTTGGACTAACGTAAGTATTCCCCCCCCCCCACGCCACGTGCCCTTTTCTTCCTCCCGCCCTCTCTCCCTCCTTTTTTCTTCTCTGTTGTTTTGAGACACTCAGGCCAGCAGACAGGGTGCCTTCCTCCTCACCTTTCTGGAGCATAGTGGGACATGTGTGAGGTCAGGGGGCACAGATAAACAGCTTGATTTTACTAGTACCTAGGCTGGCCTTGCACTCATGGTGATCCTCCTACCTCAGCCTCCTGAGTGCTGGAATTCTAGGTCTGCACCACTGCACCCAACTGATTTATACATTTCTTGTTGAAGGACTGAAATGGAAAAGGAGAGTAACCCAGGAGTATGCTGAGGGACGAAACTAGAGGGGTGCCAAGTAAGGATGTCTGAGCCACTCTGGACACTGGGGTCATCAAGGCTAGAGCGGACTGCTCAGAACCCTGGAAAGTTCGAGATCCCCCACATTCGTTTTTCTTGTCTGTTCTAGTCCAGCCCAGAATTTTTTTGTTGTTTGCTTGTTTGTTTTTGTTTTTTTGTTTTTGTTTTTGTTTTTCAAGGCAGGATTTCTCTGTGTAGCTTTGGAGCCTATCCTGGCACTCGCTCTGGAGACCAGGCTGGCCTTGAACTCACAGAGATCCACCTGCCTCTGCCTACCAAGTGCTGGGATTAAAGGCGTGTGCCACCAACGCCTGGCCACAGCCCAGAATTTGTTTCTGTGCCCAAATGATCAGTACCCGGAAAAGTTCTAGTGGATAAATTAATTCTAGAACCAATAATTTCAGGTATGGGTCAAACTGGCAACTAAATGCCCAGACGACTAGAATTTTCTTGCAGGGCTTAGAAAAGTCAGTGATAGACTTGGTGTAGACTCTGCGGTCAAGGGTACAGGAGCTGCAGTTCATAAACCAGGGATCCCAGTAAAAACCCAAAGGACTCTACCACTTTTAGAGTGGGCATCTTAAGAACCTGTCTGAGGGGGCTGCAGACAGTAATAGCAGCCAGTCAGCTGGAGGGTAAAAATAGACACACAGGCCAGAAGACAGGATGCCTTCTTCCAGCCCTTTCTGGGGCACAGTGGAAAGTATGTAAAGTTATGGCACAGATAAACAGCTGCTTCTCACAAACTTGTAGCAGCAGTAAAAGGGTCACTGCCCACAGGTAGGTGTACTGACCCTTTCCTGGACCTACTGGGAGGTCAAGGCCAGGAGACCTGTGGTGGGTAGATGAGCTGCATGGTGAGATAACTTTCTGAAAATATCTCTTGACTCCAAAGAGACTGAAATTTTTCTGGACCTTGAAGCCAAGTTAATAACACGCCTTAAGATCATTTAGGACTGTGTACTTAACATGCTGTCCTACTCTGTTCTCAGCCTGTTTAACTGGCCTTTAAGAGAACAGTGTAACCAACCTCATTATGTTTTGGATTTCCCACGCATTCAGCCTTTACAGCCTAAGCTAATGCATAGTTTTAATCTTAAATTATGTACTCTCCCATGCCCTGACCCAAGATTATACATGTTGTGGTAATCATTTGCCAAAAACAGCCAAGATTGGGACAACCTTAAGCAACAAATATTCCATAAATGTTGGAAGCAACATGTGGATATGGGATGGTATGTTTGTGGTTTTGAGTACTCTCCTGGGTGATTTGGCGTCAGTAAAGTCGACCTCTTTCCTTGTAAAAATCTGTTCAAGATATCTGCAAAGAATCTCTCATTCCTTTCCCATGCCATGTTTTCTGTGCTATTCAATAAATACAAAGCAAAGCCCTCTCTTAGAGACAGACACAGATACACACACACACACACACACACACACACACACACACAGGGTTGGGCTGTGAACAGGCACAGATAAGAGCAGACCACAGGTATGACAGCCGGCACATACATACATCAGATACCACACATAGGCAACAAGGACAGACAAATCACACACATACAATAGACAGAATACACTGACTGGTGGTGGTACACACTTTTAATCCCAGCACTAGGGAGGCAGAGGCAGGCAGATCTCTGTGTTGGAGGCCAGCCTAGTCTACAGAGCCAGTTCCACGACAGGCTCCAAAACTACACAGAGAAACCATGTCTAGAAAAACCAATCAACAACCAACCAACCAACCAAACAAACAAAACAACAACAACAACAAAAAAACCAAACCAAAACCAAAAAGAAAACAGAACATACAGACTACAGACAGGTCAGTAACCATAGACTGGAAACACACAAGAAGTGGGCTGGCTCTTAAACTAACCCAAGAGAAGGTTACTTTGTTTTCATTCCTTGAGGCAACATGGAGCATTTTGGTGCCTTCTCTGAGGTTATCTTTAATGCATCAACCAAGGTCTGGCTTCCATCTCACCCACATCCCCATTTCCTCACCTGGAAGTGGAAGATCCCCGCATAGTTTTCAGTGAAACTTTGATCATGGGGTATAACTCGGAAAAGCAGCCTCTCGTTCAGCGTCAGGCAGGCGATGGCTGCAAGAAACCAGCAGTCCCCTGTAGGCAAACACAGACTGTTAGTCAGGTAGCGGCTGCCCCTCTGGGAAGAGAAGACCCAGCTCCTGCCATGAATTCCCCATCCTGAAGAATTGGATGCTAATGTTGCCCACCTCCCTACTTCCTGTCTGCCCTCACCAGGTGTGAACCCAGGCAAGGAGAGCCACAGGAACTCCTCAACAGCCAGAGGAACAGGGTAACTCATTCTCTCAGGATTGGATGTTTTCCTAAGGTCAACTAATTCCTCCTTTTATAAAGAGACTCACTTCCTTCAAGGAGACAGCAGTGGGTGGTCATGGCTGCCCTCCGTTTTTGCTGGGTTAACCTTTTCCCTTTTGGCATCAAGGACAACTGTGTGTCAGAGAACCATCAACTAAGCAGATGTGCATCAGCTAACTGTCCAGGACCAGTCTACAAAGGGCACCGAGACTGGCAAAAGGCATACCCGGTGCCCCGACAGTCCTGCATCTATCTACTAAGGGCACAGGCCAGCCACCACCCTGCTGGTAAGGAGAGGCTGACAACTGCCCAAGCCACCTATCTCCCTCCTTTGAATCAGCCAGCCTATCCTCTGGAAGTAGTGTATCGGTTTGAAGGGCTCAGAGCTTAGTTTGTCCCCAGGCAGTGTCCCTTAGGTGCCCCAACACCCAGTGTCTGCAGCCTCTCTTTCTGGAAGAAACTAAGATGATGCTTTTCAGCTGCCCTTGCCTTTTTTGTGTTTTATATTGCCTTTTAATGATTTCTCCAATTTCCCTCCACAGAGCTTGCCCACAGTCTGCCCCAGGGAGGATGCTTCCAGAACTAAAGGTGAAAGGAGAGGAAGGGCTGTGTAACAGCCAAGCTGACAGAACCTGGGCCTCTCTTCCTCTTGGCAAATGCCACCTCTGTCAAAAGACTCCTTTAGTGTGGAGATGCCTAATGTGATGACCTGAGTTTGACCTCCAGATCCTACACAGAAAAAGGAAACAACTGTTTCCCCACAAGCTGTTCTCTGACCTTCTAGGTTTGTGCCATGGTGTGTGGTTGTACACACACACACACACTTAAATAGATAATTTTAAAAGATTTTGAAATGCATTAAAAGAAGAAACAGAATTTTGTTTTTTCACATCCTGAATAGAGACCACACCTGCTAACTAGCCCTGGGTCGTCTGGCCGGGCATGGTGGAGGGAGTTTCCTACCTAGGTCTCCTTGGCAGATGTCAGTCCTGTTGGCTCCACCAATGATAAATCGGGGATTCTCACAAATTTCCTGCAGAACAAAAAGGAAACAACCAGGTAAACAAACAGCCAGCTGACTGGCTGTTTCCAAAAAGGAAACAACAATCCAGCAATTGTTGGATTTCCAGGCTGACCCGATGGCGTACTGCCCTGGTACCATGGGCTTTACACTCACTGACCCTTACGCCTCCACAGCCAGCGGTTCACGCCAAGAATGTGGACTACCATCACTCTTCTTTTTCAAACCAGAGAGCTGAGGCTGAGAGTTGGGTGTATTGGTGCGTATCTATAATCCCAGCACTGGAGGGGCTGACGCAGGGGGATGGCTAGTTCAAGGTCAGCATGGGCTAAATAAGGAGACCCTACCTTAAGAGGAACAATAAACAACTGAAGATCAGGGAAGGTAAGAAAGCCGCCCCAAGGCTATCTGCTCTTCTCTCCCACACTAGACACAGAATGGCATATCCCTTGAGTACAGACTGGTATGTACCTTGAGAGGCGGGGCAAAGTGGCTACAGAACTCATGGGGAAAGGATGCTAGTAGGAAAAAAAAAAAAAAGATCTTCCTTTCTAAGATGTGGGACATAAATATTTAGAGGCAGCATATATCCCAGCATCTGCAGGTCTTGGCAGTCTGCAAAGAAGATAGGAAATCTAGTGTGAGCCTCACCTGCCCCTCCTAGGTTGTTGGAAGGGGCAAATCTGCCCAGAACAGCAACAGTGGCAGCTGCAGTTTCCAAAACTAGGTATCACACAGCACATCAGCAGTCAACAGAGGGTGCTCTTGATTTCATTCGGTGTTGGCTTTGCTTTAATTAATTGATTAATTAATTTATTTTATTTTATTTTTTTTTTACTTTTAAGCTAATTAAAGATTTGGTGTTTTGATTTTAAGGTTGTTCTTTACAGCTTCAAGAAACCTTGTTATTCCTGTGAAGTGTTCTGTGCTGGCTAGTTTTATGTCAACATGACACAAACTAGAGTCATCTGAAAGGAGGGAAACTCCATTGAGAAGATGCCTCCATAAGATCCGGCTGTAGGACATTTTCTTAATTAGTGATTGATGGGAGAGGGCCCAGCCCATTGTAGGTGGTGACACCCCTGAGCTGCTGGTTCTGGGTTCTATAAGAAAGCTGACTCCCACAACTTGTCCTCTGACCTCCACACATGTGCCATGAATGCTTGTATTCCCCCTGCACACACAGATACTTACACAATAGATTAAATAAATAAATGTAACTTTAAAAAATTAAATTCTAAGGGATTGTCAATAGGCTGTGAAGTACTAGTAACTGATAAAGACTTTTCAAAGAAAAAAGAAAGTTGTGGGAAAACTAAGCCTCAATGGGCCTGACAGCTGGCCTAGAGCATGCGCAATTGATATCTCCTTTCAGCCATCCTGGGTCTGCCAGAGGACCTTGAGAACAGCAGATAAGAGATGACATGGACCTATGGTCAGCAATTACATCAGGTCAGCAGATGCCTGCTCAGTGGATCTCCTCCCTTGGGGCAGGGTAGGGGAGTATATAAAGCTACCCTTCCTGGAATAAACTGAGCTTGTTGTTTCAACTTGTTCCCGATGCCTGCGTCATTGGTGTCTTGCCTACTTTCCCTCACCCCCTAGGGACACCAGTCGGGATCCTGCAACAGAAAGCTGAGCAAGCTAGTAAGCAGCACTACTCTATGGCCTCCTCATCACCTCCTGCCTCCAGGTTAGTAGGGTAAAAGGTGCCAGTAAAAGAACACGCTGGCCCTGAGACCAGAGCCAAGGGACTACACCCTGACCCTAACCAACACAGGAACTGAAATCTAAATAATCCCACAGCACGAAATCCAACCAATCTCTGAGCTTGTCCCAAGCTCAGGAATTGAGATCCTACCAATCCCCTCCCAGAAAATGTTCACCATGGAAAGCTCCACCCCTAAGAAGCCCTGTATAACCCTGTACCTGCTCAGTTTGGGACTGCCTTTTTTCTACCCTGGCAGAGGCAGCCTCTCTCCTGGATTCCTCCCTCCCAATAAATCTCTTGAGAGAGGTTTTTTGTAATGACTTTCTTTTGCCAGAGCAGAGGTGAGCTGTAATGGCTCTTGCTGGAGCAGAGCGGAGCAGAGAAGAGCAGAGCAGACACTTTGGCTGGGGAAACCTTTCCTTGCTAGAGCAGAATTGTTACACTCAGTGGAAGTGTCGGGACCCAAAAATTATCGAGTATAAAGTATCGGGGTCCAATCCTCCACTCCATTTTCCAGGAGCCTGAATCTCCCATTGTCTTTTAGATGCTGGCTAAATTACTGCCCGGATGGCTTGGCCTCGGTGGAAAATGTCTCCTAGATGCATAACAACAGACTTAGGCCCTGTGTGTGCCCACAACTGTCCTGAGAGTTTTGTCTACGTGCCTAGGGACTGTTCAGGTGTGCCACTAAGGTTAAAAGGATTACTTGATATCAGCTATATAGATGAGAGTATGTGTCTTCTGCGGTCATCCCCACTGTTAGAAAGCTATTTAGGAGGATGCTAGAATAAACCAGAGACTCCAGTTTTCCAGCATGGACTGAGAGCCCTCCTGAAATGACAAGATACCTGTGTCTGGTCCTTATCACCATTGGGTAGCTAGGAGTTTCCTGGTCCAGCACACACACACACACACACACACACACACACACACACACACACCGACTCAGGGATGGACCCAGGGCCATTTGACTGGCTCCGATCTCAGCCCCAGGACATCAGTCAGATATAGATAGCCTCTGTAGCGTGGGGCTGGTACAAGCAGGGCCCTGGCAGGGAAGCTGAACAGAGCTATAACATGTGTCTGGTGCAGAGTTGTTACACTTGCACTAGGGAAACTTTCCCAGAGCAAACACTGTGACGCTTTGCTGGGAAGTGGTGTTCCACTGCAACAGATCTGTAACACTTGTGTTGGGATACCTTTCCCTTCTGAGCTGTAGGTATCCCTTAGCTTCTGACTACCAAGACAACTTTTCCTTCAGAGCTGTAACACTTCTAAGGTCCCTGCCTGTTGGAGTTCCTGCCTTGACTTCCCTCAGTGATGGACTGTCTGGAAATATTAGCTGAAACCCTTTCCTCCACAAGTTGCCTTGGTCATGGTGTTTCATCACAGCAATAAAAGCCCTAAAACATATTCTCTGTTTTTGTTTCTTGCTGTCTCCCTGTCTTTCTTCTTACAACCACAAACTTCTCCCAAGTGAGCTGAGGCCCCCACAGTCAAGATGCCTCCTTCTTCCTACATGGGAAGTTGCCTTCATACCACACCAATCCCTCCTGGTGTAGCAACACTGAATACTGTGGGGGTATTTAACCAGTGAACCAATGTTTGAAGTGTTCTACTGGGTGGGAAGGTGTGGGGATGAAATAAACTTGGGAGTATAACTGTTTGAAAATTGTTTTAATGGAAAAAACCATTGAAGATTTTACACAATAAAAAGGTAGAGTTAAAGGGAAATTTGTTTTAAAAGGAAGCTTGTAAAAGTTGAAACCAAGGCCAGGCGTTGGTTGCACACGCCTTAAATCCCAGCACTCGGGAGGCAGATGCAGGCAGATCTCTGTGAGTTTGAGAACAACCTGGTCTACAAGAGCTAGTTCCAGGACAGCCTCCAAAGCCACAGAGAAACCCTGTCTGGAAAAATCAAAAAAAAAAAAAAAGTTGAAACCAAACAGAGAAAAGGCACTTAAGTACATAACAAGCTGATATGGCATAAACATACACATACAAGGAGTTATTTCAAATGACTTCAAATACAAATTTTGATTATTTATCTCTTTGGGGATCTATCCTGAGGACAAACATCTAAAACCATGAAGAAATAATCAGGGGATAGAGATGTATGTGGTAGAGTGTTTGCAGAACAAGCACAAAGCTCTGAGTTTGATCCTCAGGGCTACATAAATCAAGTGTGTCTGTAATCTCAGAGCTCAGCAAGTAGAGGCCAGAGCAGAAGTTCAAGGTCATCCTCCAGTTACACAGCAAGCCTGGGCTACGTGAAACCATATATTTTTAAAAGACAAGGATACAAACATTATTTCAGAACTTTGACACATTATATAGGTGATAAATAAGAATTTTTTTAAGATTTTATTTATTTATTATGTATACAACATTCTGCTTCCATGTATATCTGCACACCAGAAGAGGACACCAGATCTCATAACAGATGGTTGTGAGGCACATATGGTTGCTGGGAATTGAACTCAGGACCTCTGGAAGAACAGCCACTGCTCTTAACCTCTGAGCCATCTCTCCAGCCCACAAATAAGAATTTTTATTATTATCATTAAGAACTAAGGTGCACTCCCCTGCCCCAAGACAGGGTTTTTTTTTGTGTAACAGCTCCGGCTGTCCTGGAACTTGCTTTGTAAACTAGGCTGGCTTTGAACTCACAGAGATCTACCTGCCTCTGCCTCTGCCTCCTGAGTGAAGGAATTAAAGGTGTGCACCACCTGGCAGATTTTTTTTTTTTTTAGTATAAAAGAAAACATAAAATTATAAAATAGGGCTGGGCGTTGGTGGTGCACACCTTTAGTCCCAGCACTCGGGAGGCAGAGGCAGGCGGATCTCTGTGAGTTCGAGGCCAGCCTGGTCTCCAGAGCGAGTGCCAGGATAGGCTCCAAAGCTACACAGAGAAACCCTGTCTCAAAACAAACAAACAAAACAAAAATGATAAAGTAGGGAGCTGGGCAGAGGTGTTGCACGCCTTTAATCCCAACAAAGGCAGGTGGATCTCTGTGAGTTTGAGGCCAGTCTGGTCTACAAGAGCTAGTTCCAGAACAGCTAGGGGCTACACACACACAGACACACACACACACACACACACACACACACACACACACACCACACAAAACTCTTACAGTGGAAGCACCTAAATGCTCTATCTGTGTCTGGAATGGTTTTGCATGGATAGATGACCATTTCGCTGCAGAGATGACTTAGTGGTTAAGAGCACTTGCTGCTCTTGCAGAATGATGAAGTTCAGGTCCTAGCATACTATCTGGTGGCTCACATCCACCTGCAA